GCTGTGGGGCCCAGCTGTGCCACTGCATCCCTGACCCACAGCAGGACCCTGCCTGGAGCTGCAGCAGCAGTTCACCTGGCCCATGCTGTCGAGTCCAGGAGGACCATCCCATGGGACACACTTGTGGGGCTCAGGACAGTGCCCAGCTGGCCCGAGCAAGGCTGGGAAGTGGGGTCCTGGTACCAGGCAGCGCTGCTGGGTCATTCTGAGGCAAAGCACCTGTAACTGGTCCCCAGCTTTGTCCTGGTCATTTTTCCCTGCCACATTTTGCAGCATGAGCTGCTCTTGTTGGGTAACATCAGGAAAGGGGCTGACACTAGCATCCTGGGCTGGTCTCTGCTCAAGGCTGGACTGAGTGTTTCCTGTTTTAAAACTTTGCTGTGTCCTGGATTTCAAACAAGTACATACCATAGATGTACAGTCAGTGTTCACCGACTCCCTCCAGGTCTTAATGAGGAAAAACTGTTAGTACCAGATATAGATGGTTACTTAACAGGGATTATGGTCATCACTTAAAAGTGGAGTCTAGGTCAGTGTCTAGAGCTCACCTCCTGGGAGGCCGATCAAGTGTGTCAGTGTAGATTTAAGTCATCAACTGTGGGATTATGGACTACATCAGTTTAATGTAACATGAAGACAGAACGAGATTGCTCTCCAGGTGGTTTTGGTAATGAGGGCACAATAATCTGTGTTTTTACAGGCATATGAAGTGCATTTTTTCAGGTGGCTGCTGAGTGTTTAATTTGGTTTGATATGGACTGCCACAAAGCATAAAGCTGAAGTACAGGATCATGGTTACCTGTGCACTAGAAACCTCACTTCACTCACAGAAAGCGTGCTGAAGCTGTGCTGCAGCGGGAAGGGATTTATCTCCAGAGAAGGACTGAGCCTGTGCCAAAAGATGTGCTTGATATCTGTGGGATAAATCCACCTCTTCTCAAATGCTTGTATTTCATTGCTGGCTATTGAGCAAAACTAGATGTATAATTTTGACTAGACACTGACCTTCCATGAAAGAAGGGAATAGGAACCCAGCAGCCCAGTTGCTGTCAGATGAGGTTAATTTGGTTAACACTACCAAATGCCCGGTGTTTGAAGCACAGCATCTGAGGAGTGTGTGGGGACTACACTAGATATATTGTATATCTGCTGTCGATACACATGCATGGAAGAATTCACAAAACGAAATTGCATGTTAGGGACATGCAGAGCACTTTCAAAGATCTTCATTTTAGGTTAATCCTAAAGTGCACTGTCTCTCTCCACAGTGATTGTAGGGATACCAAAATTGTTGACATTTTTTTATATTCAACTTCTGGCAATTGTTCCTCTTATTCAGATAATTCTTGTCCGCTGAAATTTGCACTGCATAAGTGCTCAAAATTTGAATACATTGTTTGGAACAGTAGGAATATGAACTTCCATTTTTTTTTCAATTAGAAGACATTTTATGTGGTTTTGTACTATCATATAGAAAACTTATGTCTCATGATGATTAATGGGTACTGTACAACAAGCTATGGTCAGTATTTTTGACACTGCATAAAAAACTTGGCTCACATTAGTATGCCATTTAATAGATCTACTAATTTTTTATGAAAAATGGATGACAGTGATATCACTCGGGTGCAAATATGACGTGAACAATAGTCTTTAGGGTAAAGTTAACACAAGCTTTTGCACAGCTCTGTTTAAATACCAGTATTCACCTTGCTCATTCGAATGTAGAGCTGCCTGGAAGGCATTTCTCCATTTCTTATTCATGGTACTGAAGCTATTTGATATTTGGAAACTTGTCTTTGCATGCTGGTGTGATTTCATCAGCTTCTAGCTGCAAAACAGAGACCTGTTTAGAGCCTTATTTCTGACTCAGCTATCTACGTTGCACAGCATCAGCTACAGATTTATCTGTGGCTCAGACGAAAGCAGAGTCATTACTGAGTCACTGTTGCCTCAGGGACAAAAATGTCAACATCCTGTCATATTGCCCATCTTACTACATTCATTTTATCATGAAATTAATTTAGAATAAAATAGAAAAGTGCTGACTCATTGGTCCAATTTTCTGCAGTCTGTTTTTAATCTTAGCTGGAATTCAGGTAGTGCTCAATTTTTCAGTACTATTATGAGTAGGTTCGAAAGAGGAACAGACCATTCATCTGGAAGCTGGCCAGAGCTGTGCATATTGTTCAGAAGAACACTTGGCCTGATACAGAGAGGAAAATGACCACTTTGCTGGATATTTAATAAATGGAGCTGGCATTGTCACATTTATTTGGAGACTCAGTATTTCAGAGACAGTTATCCGTCATTCATATACTCATCTACATGTATGGCGGCAACACTTTCAGTCATGAAGAATAACCCAGCTATTGCCCTCAAAGGACTTACTGCCTAAGGCCAAGCCCCGGATAATTCTGAATAGAAGACTTTCTGGAAAGATCTTAAGTGCTCAGGACTTTGCTTTAGACATCAAAACAACGCTATGCCTTCTGCAGGGCTGGGACACTGGGGCAGATTTCCAGCGCTGTGCAACAGCTACTCCTGGAACAATGTCTTCCCACCAGCTGGTCCGTCAGTGCCACGTACTAACCCAACCTGCAGGCTGGCGGCTGCAATTCCACCTCTGTGTGTGGCACTGGTGGCGATGGCAGATGCACGCACCCATGAATACGGAGAAACGTGGCTGCAAGTGGGTAAAACAGGCGTGGGCTGCGCTGAAAATGAGGCTTGAGAAAAATGGAGCAAGAGTCCTAAGAAAGAGATGCAAAATGCTACCTCTGGCTTCCATCTCGCTAGCGAGGGAATTTCAAGCTTTCCGTAAAAATGAAATAAACTGGCAGCTCTGTTTATAGATGCTCAAAGGCTTGATCTAATCACCATTTTGCTTTAATGCTGTCAATAATACTGGATATATGTGCTGCACTGTAATAGAAGAAATCTGTCTCTGCTCACCACCGAGGTGAGGGACTTGCTAGCTAACTCTGCCTTAACCCTTCTTATGTAGGAACAATGTTGTTTTCTTCTCCTGTTTCCTCAAATTAGAACTTGGTTTTGGGTGGAAAGGGAGAGCACATACCTAAGACAGTTCTGCCAGCTCTACCTTCCATTTCTGAGATGTGAGCTCTAATTGGGTCATTAAGGATGTTCTCTAACAGATCCACGTTCTCTGGGACCTCACCAAGACTGATCTCACCGTGTTTTTCTCCTTATCTCTGCCCACGACAGTTATTCTACCACAAAGCATGGATTTTTAGATAGCTGTGGTTGATTGGAACTGGCCCATTGGGTCAGAGGTTTAGTGCAGTGCTAAATGGTGAATGATAGATGAGAAGCAGCACAGGAGACTGCCGGAACGGCTCTCGGATGTGTAGAAGACTTGCTGACGGCTGATGAATACAGAAGAGGGTAGAAAAAAGTAGGGCCGTAGTAGAGGTGGTTAAACAAACAAAAGCCCCCAGCTTTGCAGAAGCATTCAACATACAAACAAGGGTGTAGAAACACTTTTGGTCACAGTCGGTGAATTTCCAACCCACTGATATCACACTCTTGGTGTGAAATGCCATCTTTTACAGAAACTTCCCTCTCTTTTTTTGAGGAGAAAATATTTGATGAAGCGTGTCAAAGATTATGTATTTTTCAAGTTCAATGCCCAGATAAAGAGCACAGTCTTTGCCTTACACAGGTCAATAAAAGAAGAAATCCTCCCTATTGAAGTGTCATGGGGATGAGTGCCGTAGGTCTCAGGGCAGCTCCTGCCTCACCCTACATGAAACAACTGTCTCCAGAGTCTCTGGGCCACTTTTAATCACGAAATTTCTCCTGTCTTGTAAATGCCATTAGTCTTTGTGAGTGATTAGAAAAGGGCGAGAAAGAACTGGAAAATACCTGCCCCTCATTTTTAGTTGTATGTTGATGAGGCTTTTAAAATTCTGATCAATGATTCATGGTAATTCAGTTTTATAAACTGGCATCTGTTTGTAAACATATATAGTGGAAGACCTTGAAACACAATGTCCTGCATATATTTTCATATTTGGCTTTGGAAGGGATTCTTTACCAGAACATGACCTCTACCATCAGATGTTGAACCTGGCATTTGCGCACTGTGGCTCTGTTTCTCGTGGCGAAATGCTTTGCCCTGTGCCGAGCCCCACAGACCACGCAGGAGGTGAAGAGCACAATTCCCAGGACTGTCGGTGAACTACCAGCACTACTAGGAGCATCTACCACACTGAAGGGTGGAAGGGCAGAATTTAGCTGTGAAAATCATCTTTTCACCACCACCTGTGATCTCTTTCCATATGAGAGCAACGGAGAGTCTCTTGGATCTAACCGATGAAGTGATTTTGAAGAGGTGTTATTATGAGAAGTGCAGGTACACTGATCGGGTGAAAGAATCTGATGTTTTTCCAGCAAAGCATCGCCTCTCTCTGCCTGCAAATGGGGGCCTGTCCCACACAGGCAGACGGCACAGCTTCGAGCAGGTCCTTTTACTCGTAAAGTCATTCACTGCAATTCGTTTCACTTGTTGATGTGCTGACATTTTGAGTTTCATAAATAGAGGCCTGGGTATTTCTGCTGTAGGCATTGGTGTAATGCAGAATTCCGTAGGGATTCAGCCCAAAGCAGAATTGCCCATAGCTGGGCGCCGGGCAGCCCACACTCCCCACAGAAGGGGAGGCAAGTGCAGGGTGTCTCCTGTCCCGTCCCGTTCCCATGTTGCTGCCCCAACACTCAGTGCCAGGGCCTGAAAAGAAGCCAGGCCAGGCGTGCGGCCGCCCTGTTTGCTGGGGGCCCCGTGTCGGGTGGCTCGGCCCCGCTTGACCCGGCTCAACCCAGCAGCCCTAAATTAGGAGTTACAATAAACCCTGCAGTTAGTCAGCCTTGGCTGTGACAGCGATCCTGGCAGCCTGTGAACGGCACCGGTTGCCTGTCGTAATAGTATATGTTATATCTATGGAGAAGTGAATGCAGGAATCGGCAGATTTAGGCACAAGCACGCTTGGAATCCCACGCTTTTATTAGTTCTTGTTACGTATCATGGGTTCCCTGACACCAAACGGTGCCATTGCATCGCAGCTGCAGCAGCCGATGGGCAGGAATGTGTAAACCCCAGCCCCTGCTGGGGTGCAGGCTGCCCCGTCTCCCACCGGCCCCGCCTGGGCAGCCGGGCAGGCTCTGGTCACCCCGACCTCAGCCTCCACCGCAGCACGGGCCAGCGTACGGGCTGAGAAATGTGGGGTGCGGGGAGGAGTGTTTGGGTTGTGAGCTGAAAGCAGAGAGCGGATTAGTGGGGATTTGGACTCACTAAGGAGCAAATCGCAGGGGATGTGGGCAGGCTTTTGCGATGCATTCTTGTTTGATATAATCTTTCCTCCTCCCTCTATAGGAAGTTGGGTTTAATTGCACAAATGTAGTCCTCTGCCTTCACCTTTCAGAGAAACTTATCATCAGTATAGAGGTATCGTCACTGATACAGCTCCATACAGTCACAACACCCACTGCAATAAAGACAGAGCATAAACCACGTACATATGCACAACTGAACGACAGTAATAATGCAGACAGCACACAGGCAAATGAAGCTGAGCTTGAGCCTTCTGAATACGCTGTGATTTTGAGCTCTATTGTGTTGGGATCTTCTTGGGTCAGCCTTATTTTGCATTTCTCTGTAGCCCTTCAGATGCTCTCTCTTAGTCTGTATGCCCTGTGCTATGCACACTGTATCCAAGTAATTAAATTTCCATGATGAAACCAGATACAAACCTTACAAACCCTGTCAGAGGCAGGAGAAAGTCTCACTGTTGGTAGGTGGCAGGGTTTAAATGTAAAACCTTAATGAGCAGAAGAGTGATCAAGTCTTTTCTGGCACAGGTCAAAGGACCAAAACGTCATGGACTTGCAGTGGTTCTGAAATGCATGCTGTAAATCCAGCAGGGCCAGAGTTCTAGAGACACAATCTGGTATGGTATGTTCTGTGGTATTTCAGGGAGTAAACAAGAGACAGTTTTATCTGTCACATTTATCTAAGTCCTTTCATCTAAGGAAAGAAAAAGGAATCAAGATGAATCCCCAAATAGTAGAGGAACAATTTCTATTAGATAGGTCCTATTTTCTATAACTTCAGGAATAATTCTGAGTCAACATGTCCTTTGAATAATACAGATTGGTTTAAACTTGGTCTAAATTGAGGAGCGCCCCTACTAAAGCTGTAGGAAGAGTTTCCCCCCAGGTGCTCCCCATCAGACTCCAGCAGCAGCGGCAGCTGATGGCAGAGGCTGTCCTCATGGGACCTTTGCACAGCCAAGGGAGAGATGTTCAACCCTGCTTCCATTTGCAAGGTCTCCGAGAGCAGGCTGGAGGAAAACCAGAGAAAGTCAGACTGCACCCAGGGCTGGACAAGTCACTGCTTTTTTCTGTCATCAGGAGAAAACATTAACATGCCATAAAATTTAAAATTTGGAGCTCTTTTCTAGAACTGTTGCATTTAATGTATATTCTTATATAGCATGATTTCTTATGTATGACTTTTTACCCTATACAATGTCTTCCCTACCTCCCCTAAATCTGTGACTTTGTGCCTCTGAGCTTATTATCACTGTTTCTCCTTTCCTTGTTTATGAGAAGAGAAACTGCTATGTTATTTTGGGGTTATCTGATTTGGTGGGGACCGTACACCAGTAGTTTCTGAGAGTGCACCCAAGATAGCCTGTACTATTCAATACTTGTTAAAGGTTAAGAAACAGAGACATGGAATGTAAGTGGTGTCACCACAAGGTGAAGTCTGTGAGTGACTGCATGCAAAATACATACATGTTTGTATTGACAATGGTCATCTGACACATTATTTTTCCGTATGTTACTTAGTTTTCAAGCTATGTAGGAAGCCTAAAAATTGTGCTGCTGTAACTGTGACTGGTATGTCTTTCCACTGGCTTTGCATTTTATGGCAAAAAAAGACTATCTTGCTTTTTGTATCTTCATATTGTTTGTTTTTTTCTCTTAGCTTCAGTTTGTGTTGAAATATCTTACAGACTTCATGTAATGGACGTACCTCTAGATTTATGTTCCAAGGCAGTGATGTTCCCTTAATTTTTTATGAAACTCTTATCCTTAAGTATCAATGCTTATTTCCTTGTAAGCTATAGAAGAGAACATAGATATTAAGCAAATAAATATAGCAAGAATGACCAGTGAAATAATACAAGCAGAGCAGGACATACCAATAATTTCAGAAGTGAAACAATCAACCCAGTGTTCATGAAGCTGAGGTTCAACAAAGGCTTGTGGGCAGCCTGCCTAATAGCAGTTATACAACAGCAATAATTTGTTGCCTGGCTGCAGAGCCCTTCTTTCCCCTCTCCCCTGCACCCCCTAAAATGTTTAGCACACCTTGTATAGCACAGCAGGGGCTTGAGCACGAGCTCATTGTTTTGCAGTTTGTACCTCCCTTCCCCAAATGCCTGGTATTTCTGGTTACCCACCTAGCAACCCCAGAGACATCCAAATCCCGTGCTTTGCAATATGCAATAATGTCTGTATGATCTGGAGTGGCCTTAGGGCTGAAAAGCTTGGACTTGCAAAAAAAGGACAATGAGTGAAACCTGCAGACTGTAGTACACGGATTTCATAGGAGTAGGTCACAAGAAGCATTTCAGGGATGGTGATTTATGAACTTGGAATCACTTTATCAACAGTATCTTTCTTCTACTTATTCTGTCTTTCTGGACATTGTCCATGCAACCGAAGACTGTGATGCCTGATAACTTTAGGACTGAAAACTGTAACACATTAAACAGACCTACATGTCATGGTCTGTACTTTTCTGTACCCGCTGGCTCTCACCAGTTTTAGAAAATTACTGCTTTCACTCAGAAAGTGCTTATTCACGTAAAATTGTAACAGTGGTATTATAATGCAGTCGTATTATATTGCAGAAAGGGCTTGGGTGCTGAAATTTTTTTCATTTTCACTTTCTGGTAGGAAAGCATGTATTTTAGGGGAGATCAGCAGGATAAGGAAAGGAAAAGAAGTATGGGAAGGTACTTACCTGTCTTCTCCTCTTAGCTAAAACTAAGTGTTCTATATGGGAAACGATAACCTTCATGAAAATAGCCATTAACTACACTCATCCCTTTTGTGTCAAAACTTTTTGTACAGAAATAACAGACCTAAATTTCTTGAAAGCAGGAAGCTTGCCTCTGTTAACGTTACAGCTTATGGAGCTTTCAGTCTTGTAGTTCTTCATCTCCCAGATCATCTCTAATTCCAGTCCTCACTGAAAAAAAAAAAAAAAAAAAAAAAAAAAAAGTAAGATGTCCATTTTGGAGCAGAATGTTGGAAAAAAATTATTAAGCATATTGTTCCTGGTTAGATGCACTCTGATCTCACATGGCTGTAATCTGCTGTTCAGAAATATCCTCTTCTTCTAAATCAGACTTTCCAGAGAGTGATAGTGAGACACTGTGAGAGTTTTGTGCTCTGTGCACTGGACTGGATCTTATTGAAAAGTTACAGAAGGGCTCTAAGAGACAAACATTTGACTGACATCCTTAGCCTCACACTGCTTCATGTTGATCTGCTAATGTAATCGGTAGAGCAACCAGTAGATACTCAACTGCACCTGGTGTTGCAAGATCAGGACACAACAATACCTGGAGCTTCTGCCAATATCATCCTTCCAGGGCTGTTCTTCCCATATACCTACTAGAAATCCAGTGTACTGTCAATGAGTTTCAGGTTGGGAGTGTTCCTTGATTTGAGAGGGCAAGAAATAGTATTAATGATGAAAGTCTTTGAGGAAAAATTAAGATTAACTACTGGTATGGTATAGTTATACAGTTTTCAGAAAACAGAAGAATGTCTGGGGAAATGAATAGCCAGTTTGTACAAGGCTTGGAAGACACAGAAATGCAAGCAGTCTGCCTGATACTAGTAACTCCTCCCTATGTTACATTTAACCTGAGAAATTATAGGAAAAAAAGCAAGTTCTAGTTTTCTAACTCAAATATAGTCTCAGAAAATTATTTTGCTAATTCAGGTCTTATTATCCCATAAGGAAAGTCTGCTAACTCAGGCTGTTATCATTGTAGTCATATAAAGGCTTTGAAATCTTAGTTGTAGGAACGAAGTACAGATGTCACTTAACAGGAAAAGTGATTGCAACGTAGACAACTCTTTTATTTGAAGAATTTAGTTGTTCTCCCAGAAGATTCAAAAGCTGCATATGCACTATGGAAAATGTAAGGGAGAAATGAAGTATAAGTGCACATTTAGTTCTAATAGACCTCTTTAGGAAACAGCCAGGAAGATCAAAAGCCAAACTAAATGCTCGAAAAATAAGGCATGGAATGGTATTATCAGAAATTTATCAAATCACAGTGAAGAACAGAGCAAGATGAACTGCTGAATGTTTGCAGAAAAAGAGAGACAAAAGGGCTGGATGATTTTGATGAATTAACCACAGAAGGAGAGTTGAAGTGGGAAAGCAAAGAGAAGCAATCTGAAGGGAGAGAGATAACAATGTAGTGGCGAATTTGAAGGAAAACATCTGCTCCAAAATTGGCCCTTCTAGAATGAGGATAAAACACATCAGGAGTTCAGAAAGATTGAATCAAAAGTGGGACCAAGACAGAGACTGAGATGCTTCAGAAGAAATGTGGATATTTTGGGGTAAAAACAGTGCCTGCTGGAGTAAGTAGAAGAAATTTGTATTGAAGGACAATACTCACAGAAAATGTCAAACACCAATACCAGCATGTATTATGAGAAAGCTGGTAGATCATGAATCCTGGAAGTTAAAGTAGGAGCCAGTTAGGATAAGAGGTAATAAATGTTATATTTTGTGTCTATGCTATTACCTTAATCATCCTGACTTTTATACTAAGGACACTTAAGCTAAAACCCCTGCTCATCCCCTGTATAAATATTAACATAAAATAGAAGATGTCTCAGATCAATACCACATCCACAAGCTATTACATGCCTTGTAATCAAACAAAATATTGAGTTTGTTTCAGAGCCAAATCCCATGCAGTCAAGTTTATTTAGCGTTTTATTAACCCTAAAGGATACCCTGTCATCTTTTATCTGTCTTCTTAAGGAAAATAATTCCTTTTTAATTAGGTCATTGCAGTCATGTGCTGCTGCTATTAAAGCAACTCTTCCTGGTATGTAATGATGGATAAATACAGCATTTATTTATATAGGCTAGATGCTGGCATGGAAATATTAATAATAAAAATTCCTTTCCTGAGTCCTGCTTCAGTTCTGACCAAACCTAAGGCTGGCAAAGTAAGTTAGGCTCACCTTTCCTAATTCTGCCAAGCAAGAGGACACAAATGTATATGCAATGCCTACACTCAAACCATTGAATAAAATCTACTTTTCAAGTGCTAACATTCAGTGCCTAGAATTTTAATGAAGACCAAGATACAATTATCCCTTATATCTAATTCTGAGCTATCCACACCCACTACCTTATTCTTGTGTAAGGTAGAGTCAAACACAGAAGTGGGAGGGATTTAAGGGTGATGTTGGTTGTTGTTCTCCTGGAAAGGAGTTGGGTGATTCTTTCAGAGAATATTCAGTTTGGTTATCAGCTAAGGAGTTTATTGACAAACAGCATACAAATAATGCATAAAAATATATTCAAGCAGAAAATTCAGAGAATGTTGAATTAAGCCACATTTAACTTTAGGTTTATTCTGATAAAATTATTTTAAGAGGTAGTTTTAATCCACCTTGTATATTAGGCTGTTTAGGCTTTGAAATGTCACTGTATGGTTTTGCCCTTAATACAGTATAGAGTGTGTTTTCATTATATAATAGACATTAAAAAAATCCATGGATTCTGAATTTAGTACTGTTGCAATTCTTTGGTAAGCACAATTACAGATTCTTCTACAAGTAATGACAAAGACAGTTCAATATTTGTGTAGGTCTGATGCTGCCACCGGGATATTATTGTAACTGGACAAATTATGCAATTTGACAAAACAGTAATTTGCTAGTGAAGCACCATATAGCTACTGTCCAGAGTGTCTTTCAGTTTAGTAGTAGCTTCTTGGGCCTGGCATAGTTTAATTACACAGTGGGTCCTGGGTAACCTTTTCCCCAGAACCCGTATTGTGAGGAAATGTCAGACTGTTGTTGTACATCACTCGTAAAGAATAATCATGAAGCAGAGAGGGTTTTGTTAACAAGGTCAGTGAGTGTACAAATGACTGTGCAGGTCTATATGCAATAAACATCCTGTATTTCACAACTTGCAACAGTGTTCAGAGCTCTTTTGTTTGCAGCTGCTGCAGCTATTGATCAGTCCTTTGTCATGTGTGCTTTCCATTCCAAAAGCAAGCTGCTCCTGCTCAGAGAGGCTTTTGCCTCATCCTAGTCTCCAATAGTCTGTGCAGCAAATAATTGGTATGAATTGGTTAACTGCACTGAGTTAAATATATCTTTCAGGATAGAGATGGCTATACTTTGGCATTTCAGTTCCCTGTAATATGCAAGTAATTCAGGCACAGCTTCCACACCAGAGGGGTGTGCTATTTGACTGACAGTGAGTCTATTCTAGAATAAGATCTCATGAGTAGCCCCTGGCTGTGGGAAGAAGTGAGCTAGTACAAGCTGGCCAGTCACACCAGCACTTGGTGTGCATGCAGCAAGCACGGCCTGTCCCTGTCTGCAGTGAGCAGCTGCTGTTATACATGAACTATCCCCAGAATTCTTTCATTGCTCAGCTCTTCAAAGGATCTGGTGTGTCTCATGACCAGTCAAATGAAGCTTTGGGTTGGGTCTCACAGATGCCTCAAGCTCTTTCTTATCAGCTGCAAATCTTCTTTTCACATTCTTACTTTCCCTAATAAGAGCTGCTTAGTCATTCAAGCATCAAAAACGTGTTATGTGTTTTGCCTGTCATGCTGTGACTATTAACAATAATGTCTTGATGACAATGTAGTCAGTACGCTGCAAGACTTCATCATAGATCATCTTGTTACATCACCTTATAAATTAGCCAATGTTGGTTGTGAAAAAAAGTTATCTTCTGTTAAATATCCAGGTTTCATACTGGTCTGGCATAGAAGTAGGTACGATAGTTTGGTATAGCTTTAGTTTAGTAGAGAACTTGATGCTGTGTTGACCATATATTCACTGTGAGAGTTTGCCATAGATGGTTCTTTCCTTTTACAGAAGATCGCGTGTGTGTTTCTAATGACACCGTCATTCAAGGTGCTTGTAAGTCCCATGAACTCATAAATGACTTAAAGTTCACCTCTCTATTGATGCATACAAAAAGAGAGGTATACTCTTTTTCCAGAACTTTCTGAGAATCGGTCCTAGTGATTTGTTCAGAGTTGTTCCAAAGCAAGTATAGGTGTAAAATTTTGCTCCGAATAGGCCATCAGTAAGTAAATCATTAGCATGACCAGTTCCTATTAATTCATGTCTACAAAGCTGTATGAAAAAAATAAACTTTTTTCAGTCTGAATTGAGTCTGAAGACCTATTTTGGAGGTTACAGATCATCAGGCCTCATAAGGCCTGTCATAAGCAAGATATGTGCTAAGATGCATCCTCTTTTGATGTTGCTTATAACAACAAAATGCTTGAAAAAGGCTTGACTGACCTTTACCTTGCATCTCATCATAGAGATGTTTCAACATTAAAAGCTGCTCTTGGACAAGACAGGCTTTCCAGGAATCTTCAGTCTGTTTTTCTGATTGCATCAAAATTTTTAATAAGCTCATGGAAGCTATGCAAAAGTCTAGGTTTTACTTCTCCCTTTTCCTGCCTTCGTATAGTGATAAATGCTATGAAAAAATGTTCCGTTGTTTGCCTGAAAACTGCTTTTTGATTTCTTAAAATAAGTACTGGCAGTATATGAATACAGTAACACTGTTGCTCTACCACAGAGATCTTTCATCTCATAAAACTTGATCTGGATTCATTGACAAATGGACTTTAATCCTATCTGTCAGCAGGTATGTCTGACCAAGATGACGCAGTGCTTCTTTCCTTTTCAAACAGAAGCTGACTGGCCTTATTACTGCCAACAAAGCAGCCTGGATGCTTCCACTTCATATTGTAAAACCATTCCTGTGCTGAGTAACAAGCCTCACCTGAGCACTTTCTTCAAATAAAGCACAGCCTGTATGACTTTGCACCGTCAACCTCACTAGCTATTTTTATTCAGTGCAGCAGCTATGTCAGTTGCCCTTCAGTGTTACTTTGCAATCTGGAAGGTGGTTTCATAATTTACTCCTGTGTAGAGAAATTT